CCATTACCCCCAGAAGCCCTGACTAGACATCTATAGACATTTAATTGTGGCAGGTGCGGGAACGCCAGCATCCAAGAAGGCGCAGAAGGCGCGAAGAGTCTTCAAGCAGAAGGCAAGTGAAGCGGGGGTTTCAATGGGTCTGTTGGGAGACTTTTTGACAGAGTTTATCAGACTGGTTCGATACAGTAGAAAAACCTGTTTAACCTAGAAACAAGTGCCTTCAGAAGCCCTCACTAGATGTTTAATTGCGGCAGGTGTGGATACTCCTCCACCAAAGAAGGCAAAGAAGAAAGAGGATCTTCCAGCAGAAGGCGTTGAAGTGTGGGAGAGACTGGGTAAAGCTGGGTGTGTTTGCTCAAAGAGAACACTTTCATTAAACATCAACTCAGCAGCGATACTCAACGAGGCTCTTGGGATTCCTGGTGTGCGTGTGCGTGCGTGTTCTAATATATCCTATCTATGATATATCATGAAAAAATATGCGAATTATTGAGAATTTATGAGACCATGTTCTACAGCAGCTCAACCCACTACAAAATCAACTGTCCATGCTTTACAGCAGGTCAATCGATTACAGAATCGACTGTCCATGACAACCACCCCACCCTCAAACTTGTATAGAATCAAGGACCCCACCCTCACCAGTGCGGCACTTTTGACATCCATACCAACATATCGATTCCTTACAAAATCAACAGCCCCAAGAAAGAATGCTGCCCTTACAAAATCAACCTCCCCACCCCCACAAAAACGGGTACCTGGAAGCAAACTTTTTTATTTACAATATCGAAGCTCTTTTTGTTACCCAGGTAGGTTGATTTTGTAAAGGAAATTTCAACGGGTATACGGGGTATATTCGTCGGACACAACCTCGGCTCTCAAATTGAGACACGCATTGGGATATATCAGAACGCATAGAACACCCTATAGGTAAATAAAGGCCTAAGGAAACATGCAGCAGTTTCCGACCGTGAAGTTCCAAGTGCCAAACATGAAGTTATCCTGAAAACTCCAAGTTCCAAAGCCTCCAAAGGCTCGAAGCGCATTAGCCCCTTGCTGCAAATAACGAAGTGGACAGCGCTGGCCAACTTGGGCTCAAGAAGGGCGGAAACGCAGGTACAAGTGGACCCTTCCCGCGCCGGCCGTAGCTTCATTGCGCGCGGCATGCGTAAAAAGTCTAAACAAATGCTGCTTCTGATTCCAACGCTTGCCCGCACACACTTATAGATCCATGCTCACAAGAGCTCTATCAGTTGCGACTTCCCCGTGGAGCTAGCACTTTACGTTAAGTTACTGAAAGCTAGACCTGGACTTGCAGAACGGAAAGGTGGTAGAGTCCGCAGCAACAGAATGCTTCAACATCACGCATTAGCACTTTAGTGGCAGCAAAGGAGGGCAAAACAGCTTAACAACCAAGCGCAAAGCTTAAAACTAGGTGCAGGTTGGACATGGTCCCTGAACGCACACCATGTCCCCTGCTAGTCTGTACAAGAAGTATCCCACATGCAAACAGCCGCGGTCATTCTCCTTGGAGACAGGACGCGACAGCCGTAGTCGGCGCACCCTGATTGGTCACGAAGTGTCATGGTGTAACCCGGAAAGTAGCAAGAAAGTGGTCACGCAGTAAAGAAAGTGCGAGATCGATTCACCACAGAAATCGAAAACCGGGGGAGAGCGGGTGGACGAAATCAGTTATGCAGTGAGGAAACCTTGTGCTAGACAAATTAGCTCCTTCTTTATGCGCACCATGCGTTCACACTCTTTTGGTGGATGCCCTTTCTGGACGTAGAATGTGACAAGGTGGAGGAGCACTCTCTCCACTGCAGCAGGCAGATACGTGTACTTCTTGATGAGGTGGGCCCTCGATGTGAAGCCCGAGACGCGGAGTCGAATTAACCAGCAAAAAGAAGCAAAGTCACGTATTTTCCACGTGGCTGTGCGTGGTATGTAAGTGATGGTCCGTTGGTCAAGTTGATGTCAAAGCCCAGCAAGTGCATGTCTTCAACCGGTTCCAGCTCTACTGGGTCGCCGAAAAAGTCTGTATAGGGGCTCGAATGCCGGTGCTGTGGTTGAGGAAGGTCTCGTTGATTCTCGTTGAAGATGATGAACCGGATGTCCACGCACCGGTGGTAAGTGAAGTGTATCTGAGTGTGGTCTGTGGGGCTGCGATGTAGCTGGGCCCATGAGTGTTCAATGAGGGTGATGGCCACGTAGCATAATGCGTTGGGAGCCAACGCCGGCTCCTCGGGTCTGTTGGCACAAAGTGGCGTACGCTTGAAAGATGCAGGTGTTGAGCGCCGTGCGGACAATGTAGAGGTGAGGGATGTCGTGTGTGTGTGTCGATGGTGTGTTATGTGGGATGTCTGCGGCGGCGCTGACCAGTGGGAGTGTTGCATGGGGTTGCCGGTAGCTTGGATATCAATGGTGAGAGTGGAGGTGTCAAAGGTGAGGTTCCATTTGGTGGTGAGGCTCTGCATCGATCAGGCGTTCTTGTGGAACAGAATTGAAGAGGCAAACCAAATCATCATTTGTGGGGTGGAGTGTGGTGGAGTCTGGTGTGTTGGCTGTGGAGGTGTCCGCAGTGGAGAGTTGGCCAGGAGTCTGTGGAAAGAGGCGGGAGATCACGGTGTTGCATGATAGCGGTGGATGTGGCTCTGAGGAGGAAGCCGTGTGCGGACTTGAAATAGGAAACGATGGCACGGCCTTTGCGCCATTGCTTCTGGGATTTGAGATGTACTATGGGGTATGTTGAACTTGGCTCTCGAAGCCCCAGCGATATTTTCGACGCAAATCGCTGGGAAAGGCGCAGTGGAGATGTTGTTGGAGGGTGTCGGTGGTGTGATGTAGTTGAAGGAGTTCGGGGGATTGCCATCTGGCGAGGCATCCCTTGAAGTAGAGCTGTGGAAGCGTGGTTGCACTTGAGCCATTTGGCGATGGCTTGGAATGTGTCAAAGTACTGATGTTTGGAAGAAAGCGCTGTTCACGTTGGCGGCCGATCCAGTGGTGTAGGTGGGAGGGGAGGCGCAAATCGTCCAGAGTGAGAACAGCACCCCGCACAACGCCATGTAGTGCAAAATGATGTCAGCTGAAACCTTTTATTGTCAAAAGTTGGTTCAGATTCACGGCCACGCGCCTCGTCCAAAGCTCAGGTCCGTGCAGGGCGAACAGGCCAACGATGGGAATGGAACTGGTCGCGTTCCTCGGGGCATGGCCAGCGGCAATCTCTTCCACCGGGGTCACATATGACCACTGGACTCTAGAACTCGTGGACCCGAACTTGTCCTCCAAAAGAAGGCGGCATCGCCTGCCCAATGGCCTTGCTGGCCACAGGCTGAGCAATGCGTCGTTCTTTTGCGATCTGCTATGGACCCCTTGGGCGTTGAAGATGATGCCGTGTTACCGTACTTCCGTCCTTGAAGGACGCTGGCAAGGTTGCTGCTGGCCGTGACCGTCAGGACCTCGGCCACTTGTGGGTCATCTTCGTCCCTTGGTCTGGAGGCATGTCTCCTTTGAGGGCGCCGTCTTGTTCGCCTTCGTCTTCATCAGGCGTTTCCGCCTGCTGGAGATGCGGGTCGGCGTCAGAATCTTGCTGCTCGGTTTCATTGCCTCCGTGATGAAGGTCTGCTTCACTGGTGGGGATGTCTTCCCCTTCCCTTTGCCCTTTCCGCCTGGTTGATGAGCTCGACAGCCTTTGCCACCACTGGTAGCGCCTTATGTTCTGGCCATTAAGAAGAGGAGCACGTCCTTGATGGTGTCGGGCTCCAAACTTTGGCCCGTTCCAATGAGCATCTGGCGCTGATGCTCATTGGACAGTTTTGCCCGTTCAAGCACGCAAGCTCCACGTGCTTCAGCGTCATACATTGCACATGTCATGCACCCGGACGCCAACTGTTCCAGGTGCTCGTTCTGTCCTGGAGTACCGGTTCACGAAGCTGCGCATGCTCTACTGTGCTGACCGGTAGATGCGCTCGTAGGTGTTGAGCAGCTGCCGTTTGAGATGCGCAGATCTCGTTTAAACTGCTGTTCGGATGGTGTCCATGATGAAGGTCACACCATCAATGTCATTCTCCACTTGGGGCGTCTTCTAACTCCCTTTCAAGCCTTTGAAGAGGAGGATCACAGCTTCCTTCTCGGGGACATAGTCCACTGCGGTCATAGCGCCATCCAAGTGGTTGAGGTGGTTGACCCCTTCAGGGGTTCCAGGTGCTGGAAGAGCTTGTCCCGCCCAGTGCCATGGCCATGATCTGATGGAGGTGGATTGCCATGTAAGTGAGGATCATCTTGAGGGTGTTGCGGCGTCTCCGTCTCTTCCTCTTGGCTTCTGGTGTGTCGTTTTGAGGATTTCCTGGCGTTGGATCACGTCACCTTGGGCTTGGCCGCACGCTTCTGTCTCAGCCCATTCTGACCCTTCAGGTGGGTTGTCGCCATGAGGTCGTAGAAGAGCTGGTCCTTGGTCAGGTGGAGGGCGCCGAGAGGGACATGAGGATATCCAGGTCCGGTGACATGAGGGTATCCGGGCTACTGTCTGGTATTGGGCTCGGCTGTGGGAGGCCTGCTTGGACCGTAGGCTCCATGGTCGACCAGGTTCATGCGGTCTGCTCGAAGAACAGCTGTGGAGGTGTGCAGTGAGAACGAGCTTGAACCACACCCGTAGCAGCGCCAGGCCGTCCTTTCCTCACTCCAGCACCACATTGGAGACATCGCCATCGATCATCAAGTGGGACAGGTGGTTGTGAGCGAGAGGTCACTGACCGTGGAGGGGTCGAGGACAAGCTGGGCCGCCAGGCCGTTGTAGCCACACCCGGCCGAGGGTCCATCAGCGGCTGGTCAACCTCGAGTTGGGGCATTGCATCGGCGAGGGCGACAGGGAACGGAAGCACGAGGGCAGGCTCCGCTGCCAACACAGCGAAGTGCGTGCGGCAGCACTCGCTTCCTTTTCAGCAAAGCTTGAGGGTCAAGGTGCACCTGCGGAACCGGAGACTTCTGAATCACGAATGCTACCATGCATTTTCACCTTGCAAGCTCTGACTTAATACCAGTGGTCGGTTCTTCAAAAGTTGCCCTTTCCAGAAAAACGCCCCTCAGCAAAAATCCAGGTTTCTTTGACAAGAACCTGTCTTTCTCAAAAGGTATGCAAGCATCCCTTCCAGGTTACAGGTGTGTATATATATATATATATTATATTCATATCAACGAGTCGGGATCTTCCGCCTCGACCCTCCACGTCCTATCCCACCTGTTGTCGCCAAGTCTCAAGGAGGTCTTGTCGCGCCGCTGCCAAGGCACTCATGGCCTCCTCGGCCCTTTTGGCATTCGTCAAACTCCAGGCGACCAAGCTCTGAGCGGATGCAGAAGCACCGAGACCCACCAAACAAAGAAAGAACATCTCCAGTCCCACCTGATCAGCTAACTTAGGCGATGGCCGATGGACCGAGCCGCGAAAGACGAAAGGACACCCATGACTGAACCGTCATGCCAAAGCAAATGTTCAGGTGACACGGAGACCTGTTCGCTGCTTCTCTTATTGTTCTTCATATTTCTTCGAGAACAGCACTGCACCGCAGTCAAGGTGCTAGTCCTAGTCTGCTCGCAGGACTCGCGATATCGGAGACGGTGGCCATAGTAACAGTCTGACTTGTTACAATACACGAGCAAATAAATTCCTGAGCTGCGGCTGCGGCTACGCTGGCGATCCTTAACCACATTGAGCTGCCTTTCGTGCATATGCTAATGCCGCTTACTAATGCCTTATTGACCCTAAGAAATCAACATGCATGCAAGTCTAAAAGGATCCATCAAAAAGCATCAAAAAGGTATGATTCTACAGGAGGTTCTGTTTGGAGTTGAGATTGTGGATTTGGTTCCCTGAAAAGACACTGGCTTGTAAAACATCTGTCGCACCAAATCGAACATGCTTAACTCCCTCTCCAAGCTTCACCGAAAGCACACTCGAGCGGGCACATCAAAGGAATCGACATCAAGGTCCTGAAGCTAAAATAGACCAATCTTGTAGAGAAGTATCCATCAGACAGCCTGGGAAGGAGGTGCACGACCGATTCCATCCGGTCACCGCAGAGAGTTCCGGCGGACACCAAGTCAAATCGGACCGAGGCACTCGTGGCCACATCGATATCCCCAGTTTTGAAGAGCAGTGATGCAAATCCAAGGCAAGTAGAAGATCAGGGCCAAGTGCTGGTCAGAGATCTTCGAACGAAACTTGGCGTCACTCATGACCTGGAAATCAAATTGGACGGGGGGAGGGGAGTGTTTTTTAAATGTCAAGAAACATGTCGCAGCCACGATCTTGACACCCTGGAGTTTCAGCGAAGCGGGTGCCCCTGTCATCCACTCACTCGATGGGACTACAAACATCTAACTACCACGTCGTCTTTGGCAGGAATTCCTGGCAGCCAGGAGTCTTGCCGGGCGTGCGACAAGTGTTGTGACTGGAGCATGTACCAGGGCCCCCCTAGGGTAGTTAATAGACACCCTCAACCTCCAAGGAGCTACAAATGGACACCCCTTAGGGGGTCCTGGTATGGGACATGCACCGTTCAACATCTTTCGAGTGGCCATGGAGTCATGGCCAGCGGGTCATGCACCTACAGAGGCCACCGACCTCTTCAGGTCTTTCGGTCCTCGCCTTTTTGAAGATGCCAATGAAGGTGACGACATTCATGCCCAAAGCTCCGTAGTCCAACTCGATGACACGTGTCCAGCATGTATCCATGACCAAGATCGCCACGAAACCGACCACGTATGAACTAAGGCATATGATGATCAAGTAGGGCAAGCAACTCGTCAGGACAGTCCTCGAAACGGACGTGACCCGGGCGGAGCGCCGGAGGGATCCGTCTCCGGACCGAATCCCAAGCGAGCGGGCCAGATCGATGTGTTTGGAGGCATGAATTGGGACAGCTGAGAGTGGTTTTTGAGGGAACAGTCCACAAAACAAACGGTTCCATGCATAAACCATGGTGGGCAGTTGTGTCAACTCGAAAGGACTAGTGACACTTGAGATTTGAAGAACCGATCAAGTGTGCAAAAAGAATGCTTAGCCACCCTCATAAAGGACCATGTGCTACACTAGGCTGCAGTAAAAAAGCACTGGGAGGGAGAATCTCTTCGACAAGTGTGATCATGTCCCCTTCTCTCCGTCTCAAACCCGCCCAAGTAGCGCTTGCGCTTCCTGTCGCTCGACGGTGAGTGCCTGCCCCTTCTCTCCGGAGGCCAGAACCGCCTGCCCAATTTGTCGGATGGAGACCTTTTCCTCGGCGGAGCGGCACAAAGGGCCGCGGCGGTGTGTCGTTGGTTGCGTCGTGTCCGGTCTACCGGGCAGAACATCCATTTCCCCAGTCGGCGGTCTTTTCCTAATGAACCAACATTGAAGCAGTCAAGTTGCCAAGGCTAGGTACCCGGCAGAGATGCAGAAGCCAGTGAGGCATGCGGGAAAACAGGTCAACTCGGACAGATTCATGGAATTCAGGCCGCCGGGCAGTTCCTACGCTCGAAGATCCGATGCCTGATCCACCAGATCTATATGGGCAAATGTGATGCTATTTTGCAGCATGGAGCATAGATCCTCATGAAAATATATGATCAAACTAGTTTGCGGATGTGTCGACCCTTTCAAACTCTCTACTACCAGCTTGACTAGCAAATTCTGAGCGGATCGTCTCGCTAACAAAAGATGGCTATACAGTTTCCACTTGAGCCGGGGCCATTTCGGCACTGCACGTGGTGGGAGTTTTTCAAGCTCGGATGGTGTCAATATGTGTCAATGGTGCCTCACTCTACAAGCCAAGCCCTATATAGGTAATTAACCCATCTACAATGGTCCCACTACCTGCACAACAAATGTTCAAAAGGCGTTCCCGGCGTTCCCCACACACACCTGGATTTCCGTGTAGCAGATACCTTCGGATGTTCTAGCCCTCTAGTCTAGAGTGTCCCGCTTTTGTTCTGTACAAAGCACCAAACAGCGGATGCCAAGCAGAGTTGGTCGAGGCATGTCAACTGGGACCCGCGTGAGGTGGATGCTGTGGAATCGAGCCCCCAAGCCTCAAACAGCGGAGACTCCCTCAAGCAATTCACTGAAGCTACAAACCTGTACAGACCTAATTAATCCTAATTCTTCGCCATGAAGGGCGGCCACCCGCGCTGCTATGCTGATGTCCCGTGTGTCTGACCGGGTGCCCCCGCCCGAGGACTGGCGTCGTCGGCATGGCCAGAGCATGTCAGTCCTGAAACACACCTGAGAGATGTCCACTTTTGGCTCACAGCAGGTGTTTTGAGATGTCTGCAGGTACCGATGTTTTGATGTTTTTTGTGTTTTGCCCACCGAAGATGGGAAGGTGCTGCTTGGCAAACGAAGGCCCGATTTGTTTGTGTGCAAGAAAAAGGCTTTCTGTTGGCACACAAAACGATCTGCACAGCAAAGCTGCAGGTGTATTTTTTGGAAAGAGAATGAAAGATCTGTGGTGGCCCTGTACTTTGTGTATGGATTGAACGGATTTTGCAATCTCCCTTGCAAGAACCCGGCAGACAATGAGCCAGGCTGCCGCGTTACAATTCCATTCTCCAGTCTGCAGCACATAGTGCTAGCAAATGAGCCATCACCGCTCTTTTTCTGCTAGTAGGATCTAGCAGGTCCGCAGAATTGTTTTGGGATCCAGCAACGCTGGCGTGTTGGAAGAATGCTTCAAGCCAAGCTCTGGGTTGTGAAAGGTGAAGTGAAGAACCAAAGGAACAACCCTTTTTGGGCGAGCAATTCTGGAAACCCTTTTGGGTCATAGCCTACTCGTGCTATAAGAATTGGCCCATGGCCATAGCCTACTCGTGCTACTGGGTTGGCCATCATGGATATGGGTGGCAAAGGGACCACACCCAAATCTCGCAGGTTTTTTCTTGGCAGCTTCGGCTGACCTTCTCCCAGCTCGTTGCAATGTCCTCCTTTTCAAGGAGAAGCGCGCCCTATGGGAAAGGTTCCAAGAAGCCTCCCTTGCAATAGAAGAATTGGAGGCTCAGTTCCCTTGGAATAAATCACCAAGCTTTATCCAGGAGATATTCACCTGGCATGTTTCGCAAAAACAAAAAATCATGTCACATTGCTTCAGCCCCTTCTGCCACGCAGAGGAGGTTGCTCCCCTACCCCGCGAAACAATTTCTCCTGACAAGCCACCATTTTTGGGTTCACTCCCAGTGGAATGGGCCGACCTTCGTCCATCCAAACGCAAAAAATACATTGTTCGAAGGAAAAATCAGAGATGGGCTTTGATGTCGGCTGTGGGAATTGTCTTTTGTCTGTAGATGAAGAGTTTGTATGCCACCATGGCTGAAACCCTGGTAGTTTGGATTCTATAAGATCTGGAATGTTACCACTGTCTGGCTGAACTGGAACCTACCCGATGCAATCTGAGTTCTTTGGCACCGGCGAGCCTTTGTTCCACCGCTCTTCGGCGAGCTTCGCTGGGCCACACGACGGGAAAGTGGCCAATTGCTTAAGATGTACAGAATTTGATGTTTTTTGCGGTCGGTTTTGAGGCACGGTTCCTACCTGCTCAAAATGTAGTGAGATTTAGTATGGTCAATCTGAAGCTTGGTAACTAGACTATATAGACATCTATAGGCTATATAACATATGATACATATAGATCTATATATATATATAATGCTATGTGTATTGGTGCTTCAGCGTATAGCTTTCAACCCTGTTCAAGCCCATCCACTCCGCACCTCCGCACCTCCGTTCGGCCACCGCTTCGGCCACCGGCCGGAACCCTCCGCACCGCCGCTCTCAGGCATCACCGACCTGAGAGGACGGCCGTAAGGCGAAAGAAGCCGCGGGGCGACCTGAGAATTCCCAGTCACAGCTGCACCAGCAGGCCTCCTGCATCGACCAGTTCCCCTGGTCTGGCCCTCTTGAAAACGGGCTGGACGGTCCGACGGCCCCGTTCTGAAGGAAGTATCCCTTGCTTGGCCGGCTTGGCCCCGGCTTGGAACCTTGGTGCTAGAACCCACCTACTCAGAGGTGCCCTTTCTGGCCGCGAGACAGCTCTCAAACACAACGCGCAAATCTGAGAAATGCGGCTTAAGTAGGGCTTTTCTTCGACACTCTGCATCTAGATCTCTGCAAATCACACCAGCTTCCCGTTCACGCATGCCTTGACTCCACCAACTGAAACGAAAAGGATGTAAATGATAATGTGTTAATTATCATAGGGGCACCGACAGATTTGGAATGCCACTCCAAAAGATGCCGTCATGCCCAGTTGATGATACAAAAGATATCAAAAGATATTATGTACAACAAATGCAGCAACCGTTGCATCATCACTTGCGTCACCAAGGCCGTCATAGTGCAACATTTTGCCGACCCATTTTTTCGTTCTCCCCCAGCAGCCTCTCTCCTTCCAAAACCTGTCCTTTTTGACCTACCCCCCCCCACACACATATCCTAAAACTCACTTCGTTCGCCTAAACAGAACTTCAGCCTAGCCTATCAGCTGGCTTTCCTTATTGATTTCGGGGGCCTCCGGCCTCCCTATTAAAACACACAGTCCAGATTCTCAAACTCCAAACACGCCACGCCATGCGCACCACGCCATGTGCACCACGCCAGGATCGGTGGGAGGGACGTCCGATCCTGGAGTCGCGCAGATCTAGTGGTGAACGGAGACATCATACCTTCGCTGCACCAGGTGATCAGAGGCTGCAAGCCTCTGTCAAACTGTAGTAAACTGCATGATGGTACGAACAGGCAACATTGTACCAGCACCTTCAAAGGTGTCACCAATGGAAGCCCCTACACTACTAAGGAACTTCCAGCCAGGACACCCCGAAAGAAGATTCAGGTCGAATCCTCCTCCGGACGCCACAAACAAAGGTTGAGCCACCCACCGCACCCGAACGAGTCCCGTTCCGCCCGAACGAACGAGTCCCGGCTCGGCCAACCGACCACGAGCGCGTTAGGAGCACCGTTAGACGACATGGGAAGCTCCAAGCAGCCGCTCCCTTGCTCATGCGGAATTCGTGCTCAGTGGCACAAACCAAACACCTGGCAACACGCTCAGAGTCGTGCGGCATGGCATGGGATAGAGATGAGGCTGTCACAAGACCATGGCGTGCTGTACCGGTCTTTGTTGGATCGGTTCCCGCTAAATTGCGTTCGGGAGGCCAACTTATAAGCTCTATGTCTTGCTCTATGTCTAAGCTCCATATGATCATGATGACCGCAATGTCATTTGGTCAGTCTGATCCTTGCTTCTGCTTCACTCCCAAATTGACATCCATGTGTCCATGTTCGAACTGTCCCGACTGGGCATATTCCAGTTTTCAGCCCAAACCATCGCATTCGTAACAACACTGAGGGAAGTAACGCACAGTGCTGACAGAGTTTAGCCAGAGCCCATGCCAGCCAACCCAGCTCCACTCCAAACGTGTCCTTCTATCTTCAAGTCAAGTCAAGAACCAGCATAGTAATCCCCAAATAGATGGTGGCACAGTTTCCAATACACTTTGAGTGGGGATCTACGAACTTCTATCTATGACAGGGGGTCCAAAAAACACCAAATCCTTCGCATTGCTCGTGTTTAATAAGCCCCGTTCCGGAACCCCAAAACCCCAAGGCCCCGCTCCGGAAACTTCGCCAGGAGGACTGATACCGGACCACCCGGCTGGCATCCTTGCGATCCCGGAAGTATGCCTGGACGATGGGGACTGGACTGGAGCGCAGACGGATTGCTATGGCGAGAAACAGGGTCAGATTGGAGACATAGGTGCTTTGAGAACCGTGATTGTGCTTTCCGCGAAATCTGATTGGTATGGCGATCTCCCATCCTTTGCCTGAAACCAGGAGTGAGGGGCAGAGCTCTTGCACCGGTGACGGCCACTCCTTTTTGCTTCCGCGAGTGAGCCAAGCAGCGGATCAGCTGCCAGATCGCCGTAAGCCACGTTGCCTGAACACCATGCACCCGGGTTCGAATGTTCTGCGATGGAACACCATCGCCTTTCGCTGCATCCTGGAACGGTCCCACGGAGCTAGTGAGATTGGGATGCTGACAATGCCATCCTAGAGTTGACCTATCCAAGCATGTGCCTCCTAAGGGGTAACGATCTACCCTTGCAAAACCCCCCAAGTTGGCCAGAAGCTCTTGATCCTGATCCGCCGCATGAGGGAACACCGAACACACCCTTGGATTGGAGCGAATTGGCATCTTGTGAGGATGTGTGGACCGTTCAGGGAGAAACTTGGACTGAATGAGTTGTGGAGACGCACCTTCGAGTCTATATGCACATGGTGCAAGTACTAAGTATATACAGTGTACTCGTATTCATCATTGGGATTTGTGTCGAACTATGAAAGACACAGAGTCCGGGATCATCTCGATGGCAATGACTCTAGGGTCGATGACAAGAAGTTTGCAGTTTGTGAAAGAAAGAACAAAAACAACCTAAGGATGGAGAACACCTAAACTAGTTATGAGAAAGGTAAAAGGTGATGTAATATCTGCAGCTTGATGAGCTTTGAGCAAAGGGCTCTCTAACCGCAGGTGGCCTGAAAGACACATTAATAAAATTGTCCCAGCTGCGTGGGGTTGTACAATGGTTTCTACAGGTTTAGGGTTCGAACAAAGTGTAAATAATCACAAGTCTGTGAAAACACGATATCTTGATATATCTTGCTAAGTTGTTTGCCTCAATCTTGGGTTCAGTATCTCGTGTTTGCTGCCTGAACACTCTCCAGAACCCTCCGGGTCTTCCGGGTCACGGGTGAAGGCCACGGTGACGGTGAGATTCAGCACCGAATGCCACCAGTTGGGGGGGATGTACAGCAGGTCTCCTGCCTTGTCCGCGGATCGGTCGTGTCAAACATCGGCTCCGCGGATCGAGAGTGGACCGGGTGAACCGTGTGTCAGAGCATGGTCTTTTTTTCGATTTCGCAACAGGTAGGAGTATCTGCAATTTTTGGTGAAACACTCCAGACGTTCTTTCAAACCTCGGACTTTCCACTCCATACATGAGAAACTGGAAGAACAAGGTCCTTCTGACAGTTCACTTGAAGCTTCCAAGCATCCATGAAAGCAACAAATATCGCAGTGTGATGATGAACTGTTGAATCGTAGTGTGATCCTGCTGCTGATGATGATGATGACGACGACGACGACGACGATGATGATGAGAAAACAGATTAGGAGGAGGAGGAGGAGTAGGAGGTGGAGGAAGAGGAGCAGGATTCACAATAATATTTAGCTCTTGGTGCTTGTAAGCGAACTTCCACACTGGCTCAATTCGTGGAAGGATCTTTCGGACCTGTTTCTTGGGGCCTGCCCAACATTCTAAGGATGATGGTGGGCCTCTACGAAAATTCCTGATAAACATGTTCTGTCAGTCATGGATGATTACAGTGAAAGACGACACCCTTTGTCCAAGTCAAGGGCTTTGTCTCAAGGCCATCGTCTTTTGTATCGCGGTTGTGTCAGCACTTCTTGTTCAATCAAAATAGCACCATACCATTCTTGGAGGACGGACACCCTTCAAAGAGCTCGAACTCACAGGAACCGTTTGACAAAGAACACGTGTCTTTTTATTGATCTGAGAAACACAAAATCCTACAAAGGTTCAACGTCCTGTTTTTGATGTGTTTTGTAATCCCCTCGGTGTCCTTCAGCGTTAGCAGCTTTCAACACCCCGCTATGAAGGGGTTTGAAGGTCAGCCGCTCGTGTATCCCATGTAATGTCAAGTTAGGATTAATCAATCCCCCCCTAGTTAACCCGAGCCCACAAAGCCGCCGAAAATTGCCCAAATTAAAAGTATTATTCGCTGTTGATTTCCCCCCCTATGGTCTACTTTTCTACCAACAATCCCCCCAGTTAATCCGAGCCCACAACCAGGTCAACTTTTCGTATTACTACTACTACTACTACTACTACTCCTGCTACTACTACTACTACTACTACTAGGAAGTCGTCAACGTGGACGATGCAGCAAACCTCCAGGTAGCCGTTGGCGTCCCGGCTGTAGAACATCATATGCTCAAGCTTGTGTCGAGTCAGCTTGGCGTCATTCATCAGGACCTTGGTGACATGGGTTGTCCAGGTCCTTGGTGCGGAACAAAAACCGTACAGGTTGCCGACCACCTCGTAGAGCTCTGCCGGAAAGGTTTTGGCCATTTGCTGGATTCCATCCCGTGGTGGCTTCATGTAGAGAGGCAAGGGTCGTGCTTCAGGACTTCCTTGGAGGAAAGCCGTAGAGACGTCTCCAGCCCAAAGCTTCCATCGATGCTTCTGCCTCTCGACTCGGGCGTTCAGCCCAGCGCTTGCCCTGCTACTGCTACTGCTACTGCTACTGCTACTGCTACTACTACTACTCCTGCTACTCCTGCTACTCCTGCTACTCCTGCTACTCCTGCT